GAGAGAGACAGAGACAGAGCACAAGTGGGGGAAGAATAAAGAGAGATGGGGAGACGCAGAATCCAGAGCAGGCTCCAGGCTCTGAGTTGTCAGCACAGAGCCCGACGCGGGGCTCGAACTCACGGACTGTGAGATCGTGACCTGAGCCGAAGTTGAATGCTTAACCGACTGAGCCACCCAGGCGCCCCAAATGGTGGTATTCTACACACAAAGTTTTGCACCTTGCTTTTTTCACTTAACCGTACAGCCTGGAGACTGTTGGCCATCACATACAGAGCTGCCTTATTGTTTTCTCCAAGAGGTAAGACATTATCTTTTTACTAGCTGCATAGTACGCCATTGTACAAATGTATAACAATTTACTGTAATAGCGTCCAATGCATTTCAATCAAAAATAAACTGGAGGGGTGGCGCCTGGGTGGCTCAGTCGGTTGAGCGACTGACCCTTGACTTCGGCTCAGTTCGTGAGATCAAGCCCCATAGTGGGCTCTGTGTTGACAATGCAGAGCCTGCTTGGGATTCTCTCACTGCCCCTCCCCTGCTGGCTCACTCTCTCTCTCTCTCAAAAACAAACATTATTTTTTTTAAATGCTTATTTGAGACAGAGACAGAGCATGAACGGGGGAGGGGCAGAGAGAGAGGGAGACACAAAATCCGAACCAGGTTCCAGGCTCCGAGCTGTCAGCACAGAGCCCGACGCAGGGCTCGAACTCACGGACTACGAGGTCATGACCTGAGCCGAAGTCGGCCGCTCAACCGACTGAGCCACCCAGGCACCCCACAAAATAAACATTTATAAAAATATATATATAGAAGTCTGTGTGGCATAAAAAAAAACAAAAAACAAAAAAAACACACCATGACCAAAATCAAAAACAAAGCTAGGAAAAAGATGTTTGCAAGTCATCTGAAGCTCCTAGCAATTGAAAGACAGACTTACAACTTTATAGAACAGAGGAAGAATACAAACAGACAACGATATATAAACAACTCTTAAACATGCTTTTAGGGGCGCCTGGGTGGCTCGGTCAGTTGAGCGTCCAACGTCAGCTCAGGTCACGATCTCACAGTTTGTGAGTTCGAGCACCGCGTCGGGCTTGGAGCCTGGAGCCTGCTTCCGATTCTGTGTCTCCCTCTCTCTCTCCGCCCCTCCCCCGCTCACACTGTCTCTGTCTCTCTCTCACAAATAAACATTAAAAAAAAATTTAAAAAGCAAACCATGTTTTTTAAAGGTCAACCTCACTCATAAGAGAAATGCAAACGCTACTTACTGCCCGTGATACCCTGACCTATCAGACAGGAGCAGGTGCTAATTCACCAGGCTGGTGACCCCTACGGAGGGCGTGTGGCACTCTCTCTCAAAATCACACACACATACCCTGAGCCAGCAGTCCTACTTCTGGAAATGTACTGTACAGACGCGCTCAGGGGCTCGCGTGAGATCGTTCCTTGCGACAGCGTGTGCAGCAGCAAGAGTGGAAACGCCACGTGTCTGTCCACAAAGGAACGGGGCCGCTCAAGTCACACAATGGAACGCTGCAAAGCCCGAAGACCAATGTGACCGTGCTCCACACGCGGAGACAAAAAGACTGCCAAGACACATCTTTGAGTGGAAAAGGCGAAGTGCGGAAGGATGTGGAGAGACCGTATCCCTTGGGTAATGTGGGGAGAGGTGTGCCACATGTGCGTTTCTCTCCTTAAAGAAAAAGTCTGAGAAACAAAGGCAGCTGGGAAACAAGAGTGGGGGGTGGACAGGGCAACTCGAAACCAGGAAGGGACAGAGATTTGTCACCGCGCTCTGGCCCAGGCTATTTTACTCTGAACTGCAGTAAATATATTACCTATTAAAGAAATGAAGAGCATAAAGGATCCGAAAAAGAAACACAGTGCAGTGTGTGCTGACATAGAACATCCCCAAGGGGGTTGCCAGGCGGGGTGGGCACACACACCCAGCATTCCCATCTGTGGTTTTTAAGCGAGAACACGGTTATGTGTAGAAGGCTTCGACTCAGCGGGGACTACGCCTTCGCGCAGGTGGCTGCCTCGGGGGACACGTCCGGGATGAGAGAGACGAGGCTTTCATTAATTACCCGTTGCGTTGTTTGAATGTTTTGCCATATGCCTGTATAATTTCCTCAATACAACAGTTTTGAAAGAAATACTACTTTTTAGAGAACGTGTGAGCAGGGGAGAAGGGCAGAAGGTGAGAGAGAATCTTAAGCAGGTTCCACGCTCAGTGCAGAGCCGGACGTGGGGCTTGATCCCAAGACCCTGGCATCACGAATGAGCTGAAATCAACAGTCCGAGGCTTAACCGACTGGGCCACCCCTTAAATGGGCCCCTCAACAGAGAAACAGTGACACTAGGGCAGACCCTGAAACAGTTAACAGGGAGGGACACAGCCCGGTATGACAGAAAGGATCTCAGGTGCCTGGCGTGTAAGAAAAGCAAAGTGCTGAACAAAGGATACAGAATAAAAGCATCCATGTTTTTTTACAATGTACAGGAAAAAGAACCAGAAACACCCAACAGTGGTCCCCTTGAGGAGAGGGGCAGGTGATCCAAGAATAACTTTGGCCTTCTGTGTTATAAGTTTTGACATTTTAAGGAGAGTGTGCTCACATATTTATTGCGAATACTCAACTCCCTCCTGGCAGGACCAAATGGACGTGTGGGTGGAGCTAACAATACAAAGCGAGGGTTTCCTCTGGACACAGGAGGCAGAAGATGAGCTCGGGGACGCTGCACCAAGGAGGCTAAACCCCCAAGTCTCAGTGCTCAGGAAAGAGGAAAGCCCTGGGAGGCCCCAGCACTACAATTCCAATGTGGCTGACCTCTGCACGCACTTCTGAGACCCCAATCACCTCACCCGGGCAGCCTCCTCCCCTCTTCCTGGAGGAGAGAGGTAACTTGCCCTGCCCCCCACCTGGAGAGGAACGAAGTGCCTGCGGGGGGGCTGGGGACAGAGCCAAGATCACCTTAAGGAAGAACTTTCTAACACTCCCAAATACACAAGGATGGAGCAGGCAGTCTTGAGAGGAACTGAGCTCCCCGTCCCTGGAAGCATGCAAGCTCAAGGGACCTCTGGAAGCAAGCATAAGAACCCTAGGATTCTATGGCTCTGTGAATCCTAACTGCCCTTCATTCCAAAACACGCTGCACCAAGCCCTTTACAGCATCATCTTCCATATTCCTCGCTATCTCACCATCACTCTTTTACCGACAAGGACACGAAGGCTCGCTCCCCCCAGTACTCTGCAAGACCCATGGATCACAGTGATCTAGTGACAGGTGAAGCTTCTGAGAGCTGTTCATTCACCTGCAAAAAGGGAAGGACAGAAGGTACCAAATACTGACAGCCCTGTTGCCACAGTCTATTTATCTGGGCTTCTGCGCCTGAGGCCTCAGGGATGCCTTCTGACTGCTGGACTTTTACACAACCTGTTCTGAGGTTCATCTGTTCGGAACCTCCTTCTTACTACTCCCTTCCTTGTAACTAAACCCTTCAGGGCCCACTTCTGTCAGGAAGCCTTCCCTAGTGGCCCTGGCCCCTGACGAGTCTCCCTTGCTGAAGTTCCTTTCCTTCTCCTCCAAAGCACCCCAGAAACCTCCACCCCCCACCAAAAAAAAAAAAAAAAAAAAAAAAACCCAAACACAAAACAGGAGGCTAGAGCCAAGCTTTGGATTCCCAGATCTGAGTGCAAATTCTGACTGTGACACTCTACCAGATGTGACCTTATACAAGTTCCTCACCAGTAAACCCAGGCAGGATCATCTTTTCCCCCAGGGCCATAAGTATCAGTTGACCACACCTTGCACAACTTTCCTGCCACATCCTAGCCACACAAAGATTTGCAGCATCAAAGCCTCCAGTTTTTTCTGGAAGTCTTTATGACCAAGAGTTATCTCTAGATCAAACTCGTCTGCTTGCTTTTTAGACGCTACCTTCATAAATGCATCATGTTTCCCTCTTTGCCTAGGCCGCTAGGAAACTCAACAAAGAATCAACAGCCTTCAGGGCATGACCTTGTGGTTCCTGAGTTTGAGCCCTGTGTAGGATTCAGCGGCTTCCCACTCTCTCCTCTCTCTGCTCCTCCCCCACTCGCCCATTCTCTCTCTCTCAAAATAAACTTAAAAAAAAATTTTTTTTTAAAGAATCAACAACCTTAAACTTGCTATAGATTCCTAGTACAGTGATCTCTTTTTAGCTCTCTTTAAATCAACCCTTCCCCCTCCAACACAAACACACACACACCAACTTTAAGAAATATATTACTTTAGAGGTGCCTGGGTGGCTCAGTTGGTTGGGCGAGCTACTCCTGATTTTGGCTCAGGTCATGACCTCATGGTTCGTGAATTCAAGCCCTGTATCGGGCTTCTCACTGACAGTGTAGAGTCTGCTTGGGATTCTCTCATTCTCTCCCTCTCTCTAAATAAACAAACAAGCTTTAAAAAAAAAAAAGCAATGTATTACTTTAACTTTTCTGCTGTACATGGCTTAATACCACATTCCATTTAAATTCTTTCTGGACTCAGCTGTGGGGGTGATAAATCAGTGAACACTGAGGTTCTTCAGGACACATTTAATACCAAAAAGCACATCTCCTTCCCAAGGAGCTGGGGCCTTTCTGCCCACCCCTCCTCCCTCCTCCCACCATTTCTAGAAAACGTCACCAAATCCTTTGGGAAATAAGGGAGAATTAGCTTTCATCTCCCACTTACTATCTCCTCCATGCAGCCCTCCCTGATCCGTGCACAAAACGTTCATCCTCTGGGCACCTCCCTCACAGACTAAGAGCTCCTGGAGAGCAGGCAGGTGTCAGGGATGACCTCCATCACTCCCTCAAAAGCACCACACCTGCGACCTGTGGGAGCACAGCTGACCGTGGTAGTTCAGAACATGAGCCAGAAAAGTCTGACCACCCAGGGCTTAGATCCCAGCTCTCTCACTCTGGGAGATCTTGGACAAATAACTAACCTCTGAGCCTCAGCTTACTCACCTGTAAAATGGGGAGAATAAGAGGACAGAATGCCCTTGCCAAAGAACCTGGAGCATGGCTCGCACCTGACTGGTGGGAGCTTTCATGGCTTCCCAGCAGATGGCGGTGCCTGTTGGGTGGAACCAGGAAGCCATCCATTGAAACTGTCTTTTGTGGCCAAAGAAACAGCTCAGGAAACAGCTTCTCCCACAAGTAGATTGGTTAAGGCACTAAAAGGTGCAGGTCTTCAGAATTCTGATGAGAGACCCTCATCCCCCCACCTCCAGGGGCAAAGGCACTTCTTCAGGGAGGGCAAAGGAAGGCCACCCCACTCACACCCAGTCCCTAGGAGTCCGGAGACCTAAGTACCAAGCTTCCCTACAGGCCTCGTGGCAAGTCCTACACTCTACGTAGACCTCAGTGTTGATATCTGTGCAAGGGGCCCAGATGCTCGGGGCGGGGCTGCTGGGCCCACAGGGACCCCCAAATCAGAAACAGCCTCCTGCAGAGGAATCGACCGGGGATCTGGCAGGGACAGCAGGGCCCTCTTATTTGCTCAACCCCAGCTCTCAGTGTTCAAATGCAAATGATGCCAGACTACCAGGATCGCAGCCTAGGGTTCCACCCCACCATCCTCTGCAGAGCCCAGTAGAGATCTCCCGTTGTTGCAAACCCCGCTGGGGCTGCCAGCTGAACCGGGTTCCCATCTCCCACGGTGGTCCTCGAGGCCCTCAGCTTCCGACCTCCTCAGAAAAAGGGCTTCAACTCCAGCTTCACCAACCGGACTCCTACTCCCCCCAACTTCCTCTCCACTCACCCATCCCCAAGCCCTGTTCACACAGCACCCCACACTCTGAACCCCCTTTCCTTCGCTCTGCCACAGAGTTCAGTGAAGTCCCACTCAAAAGCTCCCTCTCCGAATTCATCCCCCCTCTCCTCTGCCCCCAGGGCCGGACGGAGGCTCCCACCCAGGAGGAGCATGTCTCCTGAGAGGTGCTTTCTACCAGCAGACTTCAATCAGCCCCCAACCCGACCTCCTACCCACCTTCCAGAATCTCCCAAACAACTGAGAGAAGATTACAAATGTAGATTTCTGGGCTGCACTTCCTGAGATTCAAATTCCAATTCCACATTTCTTCTGGGGTGGGGATCCAGAATCTACATTTCAAACAAACCCCTCCAAGAGTCTGAGACCGGGATGGAGGAGGGGGCCCCAGGGAGAGATTTGTGAAGTTCTAAAACAGAGCTAGCACTGACCCAGGTGCAGATGGAGGCGGGCAGACACCTGGGCGGGGGGGTGGCGGAAATCTCCGACCACCTAGACTTCCAGCCTGGCAGTCAAGCTAGGACCCAGCAGGAGGGGACGGCGGGAGATGCCCTAAAAGAAAATGGATCCTGGCCCACCTCCAGTTCCACCCTAGTCCTCTGAAAACGGACCTCAGTTGGTGGGGAAGCTTCCCACAGGGGCAGCCACCCGGCTTCCTGACTGCCACCTGAGGGTACTATGGGCCTGAACTGATGTGTGGCGAAGTGGGGCGTCCCCACCGGTCTGCCTCTCCCGGGGTGTGCACAGGGTCGGGGAGGCATCCGAGCCTAGCCTCTAGCTTCCCACAAATCCTTCCCGCCTGCATCGGGCGGGGTATCTCAGCCCCACGGGACCGGCCAAACCGGCTGGAACCTGGTTGGGCACCCAGTGGAAGCCAGAAAAGCCCGGCTCTCGCGCGGGAGCCCCCAGGGCCGTGTCTAAATGTACGCGCCGGAACTGATGTGCCCTCTCGATTAGACAAGGAGTGTTCTGGGGAGTGACTACGCGGAGCCACTCGGAGGGGACTTTGCCTCACTCCAGCCGGGTGCCCTGGAGGGCTGGGGCCACGTCCTGGCAAAGGCAGAGACTGAGAATGAGACAGTTGTGCGCGGCGATTGTGCGTCTGTGAGCGCTCCTTTGGTTGGCCTCCAGTGACCACCTCAGGGCTCGACGGGCGTGCGAGAGCGGGCCCCCGAACGCGGGTGCTTGCAGGGTCTGCAACGGGGAGGTCTCGAGGCGAGAGGCCTCCAGGGTGGTCTCGGGGGCGTGCGTCCCGGAGGCGCCCCGGGATAGGCACCGTGCGTCGCGGCCCACGGGAGCCGAAGGTGACAGTGTACTAGGAGCAAACCAGGCAGCCCCCGGAGCCCCGACTCCTCCCGTCCCGGCCGCCCCCGACCCCGCGGGCCCGCGCGCGCTCACCAGCTGCAGCAGCATGAGCGCACCGAGGCTGGAGCGCACGAAGCCCAGGTCCGGGCGCAGCGCGGAGACCGAGGTGCCGGCGCCCTGCGCGGGGCTGCTGGTCCGCGTGCTCACTTTCGACGGGAACTCGGCCATGGCGGCTCCGCTAGCCTCCTGACGTCCCTCCGGCCGCCGCCGCCGCCCCTCCCGCCGCGAGTGCCCGCAGCCGCGCCGCTCTCCCCGAGGGCTCCGGCTACGGCGCTCCGCGCAGTGCAGGGGCGGGGAGCCGCGAGCCCTCAGGTGCTGCCGAGCTGCGGCCCCGCCCCCGCCGCGGGACCCGCCCCTTTAACGCTTCGCTCCCCGCTGGCCGCCCCCACCCACCCCGAGCTGTTCCAGGCCGCGTCCCACTTTCCAGACGGGGACACCGAGACCGCGGCCGATGAGATGGGTCTCTGCCACAACCAGCCTGGACGGCGGCTCCGTTCTCTAGCGAGGAAAGCCGCCTGCCGGGACTCGCCCTCACCCTCGCCGCAGCCTTGACCGCTGCTCCGCGCCCTCCTAGCCCGTCACTTCCAAGCCCAGGGTAAACTCGGCTGGCAGAGCGCAGTGCTACAGGCCCTCTCCTGGATGCCTCTAGGGCGCTGGGTGCCCTTCTCTCTGAGCTCTCTCCTTAAGGCGAGGTCCGCCCCTCTGTGCAGCGCCGGCTAAGGAGTCCGGGAGACCTAGCACCCAGGAGGTGAGGGGCTGAGTAAACTGTGGCTGCACCTGACTCCACTGATGTGGTTTTCACTTCCGAACGCGCTAAGCAGTAACTTAGAAGATCGTTGAGCCTCGGTTTCCTCGTCTGTAATAGAGGGACTGTTGTGTAAAATAAATGAAGCCCCTGACATACCGTGATGGGGGGAAGCCACTCACAAGGTGGGAGACGATGTTGGAGTTAGGGTTTCATTGTTCCACCTGCACCCCGAAACACACGCGCGCGCATGCGCATACATACACACACCCTTCAGGCCTTGGAAGCTTGTACAGATTATTTATTTACCAAGCAGTGTTTACAGAACCCCTACTATATGTCAGGCCCTATCCCAGGCCCTGGGGATACAGCAGGTGCAAGCCAGGCGAGGCTTCTCAGATCCCACTTTCTACTGGGGATGACAAGTAATGAACTGGGAAGAAAAAATGACTTCAGTGACAAACGCTGTAAAATAAAATAGGAGGATGTGACAGAGATGGCCAGGAGTCAATTTTTAGATAAACTAGGCACAGAAGACCTCTCAGAGAAGTGACATTTATGCAGAGAACTGAATCATCAGTACGGTCTGCCTTAGGGAAGATCTGGGAGAACAACTTCGTTAGTGCAAAGGCCCTGGGGCTGGAGGAAGCTAGTTAGTTTGAAGAACAGAAAGATCCTTGGTGGGGCTGTGTGCAAAGTGAGCAAGGGGGAGATTTGACAGGTGGGCAGAGACCAGGTCCCATAGGGCTATTTAGATTATCAGAATAGCTTCCTGTGGCTGCCACCTGAACATGGTGGCTTAAAAAACAAACACAAAAACAAAACAAAAACAAAAACAAAACAAAACAGAAATGTATTCCCTTACAGTTCTGGAGGCCAGAAATCCGAAATCAGTTTCAGTGAGTCAAAATCAAGGTATCAGTAGGACAGCTGTTCCTCTGAAGGCTCTAGAAGACTATCTTCCTTGTTCTTCTAGCTCTGGGTGGTGGCCTTGACCTTGACCTGTGACCTCATCTCCCCAATCTCTGCCCACCCAGGTAATCCAGATTACCTCCCATATCAAGAATCTAATCTGCAAAGACTCTTTTTCTTTAGACAGTAAATTTACAGATTCCAGGGATAGGATCTGCTATCTTTGGGTGGCCATTTATTCAGCCTAGGCAATAATGGAGGGGAGAGGTTAACATTTTATTCTGAGGACTGGTGGGTTTCAGACAGGAGGGTGACAAGATCTGATGGCTAATATCTGATGGAAAATATCACTGGTGGATGATGACGGAACCACTGGGTGTCCAACCCCTTCTGCCACAATGCACCTGAGCCCCTCCTGCCCACCCCACACACACTCAGGAGATGAGGAGAGCTTCTTGGTAGCCGCAGACTCAGAGACCAGCCTCTCTGCACACTGTAGGAGCCCAAGTGCAGAACACAGCTCTTGGGTAAACCCTTAATTTTACTATGACACGGGAAACAGTAAGATGATTGTTTCTGAGGCAGATTCTAGAACAGTAGAGTGTTTGGGTTTTGGTTTGGGTTTAGATTTTGCTTTTTTGGTTAATCCCACTTTCATTCCTTTCAAATGGCAACAAGCAAGACTCAATCACTGCATTGTTTTTTACTTCGACATTTTCTTCCAAACCAACTTCACTCGCCGTCCTCCCACCCCTCCGTCAGAAAAAGTGGGAAGGAAACTGCCACCCACCCAGAGTCTCCACTGGCGCCTTAGAAGGTCTGGGAAGGGGTGGGGGAATGAGAGCCAGGGATGAGGCCCAGAATGCCTGTCCTTTCCAAGGGTAGTCTCCGTCCCTGGGGTCTGAGCAGGCCATCTCCACACAGATCACCAGCAGCGCATGCCTTGTCTGAGTCCTCAGTTTTATAAAGACTCTCTACTCTGGCCAAGCACCTACTATGTGCTGGGCCTCCCTCCCTTGGGGTGGGATGAGGGCATGCTGGAGAGGCAGTGGAGATTCAGGCCCTGGGCAGATGTTTAAGGAGTACCTTGCATGGGCTGGGCACTGAGGACAGAGCTGTGAGCCATCCAACCAGAAACCCTGCCCTCAGGAAGTCTGACGGGGGAGACAGACAATCTAGATATACAAACCCACAGATAAATTGATAGTTACCAATTGTGATAACATTACTACAGGAAAAGAGCAGGACCCCATGGGAGAGAATAATTGAGGGTTGGAGAGTGTCAGGGAAAGTATAAACATTTAAGCAGAGACCTGAAGGATGAATAGGAATCAGGCAGAAAAAGAACATTCCAGGCAGAGAAAACCACCATATGTGCAAAGGCCCTGGGGCAGGAAAGACTTTGGGGTCTTTGAGGCGGGACAAAAGATTATGAGCTGAAAGGATTGGGGAGAGATGATGTTTAAGAGGCAGCCAGGGGCCAGACCACCTGTTTATTAAGCCCTCGGTAATAGAGTGGGTTTTATTATTTTAAAAAATAACACCCTTTGGAAGGTAGTTATATCTTTCAATTTGCAATTTTTAAAAATTCGCAGAAAGGTTCCCCTGGCGCTCATCCAGCAGCTTCCAGAAGCCAACTCTGGGAAGTTGCTGATTATGATCAGCAACTATTAATTGAACACTTTTCCATCCGACTCTATGCTTAGTGCAGTAGGGTTGGTTCGATTTCTTTATTTTTGATCACACAACTAATTCATTCATTGATCTTGTTGCACGGCACACACATGTCTCCAAAGCTGCACCTTCACCTCCAGTTAATCACTGAGAAGACTTTGAGTATCTGGCATACCTTTTGTCTTCTTCTCTTGCTACCACATCGATGTGAGGGAAAAAGGCAAAACGGAAATGTAGATAAAATTAAATTTCCTTCTGGGGTGTCTGGGTGGCTCAGTCGGTG